CGCACGATACTAATAGGGGCGTCCAAAATTAAATGTTTATTGGACGTATTACATCTACGGAGCTGTTTCAGTGTTAATGTACAATATAGGCATTTTTATTACATATACAGACTCGATATATGTATAGGGTACAGCGAACCAGGTGGTGGAACAGTTTTCTAACTTATGTATTTAATGTTTATCCACCATAGATTACCAAATTACATTTTTCCATAAAACAAAATAGCAATCTGTCATTTGGATAATATTATGTATCTTCTAAATTTAAATTATATTTGTTGGTAATCCTCATAATTCTACCAAACATTTGTATAGTTCAAAACGTCCTTTCACTACACACAGATGTCGCCAGTAACCCGATTAAAATCAGAATGAATACCACAGGCGAATAAATAAACTGAATAAACCCTGGTATTATGTTTACACAGACGATAACTGTAGACATTTCAGAATCAGTGAAAAAGAGTATAATTTTCTACCTGCAACCTAACGCTCGCATCGTTAATCCTTACTTAGCGGGGAACTCTACTCCATTTCAATCTCGAACCTGTCGAACCTAACCTCTCTTCATCCCTTCGCCAATCTGCAAAAAAAGCAGCTGATTGAAATTGACGAATTCGCAGTTGTAGACCAGACCCTGACCTGGTGAGATGAAAACCTGAATGCAGAGTGACAGGAATGAAACTCGGAAGAAACGAGAGAAGGATCAGCAGGCTCGGTTAGGGTGGTTTGATCAAGCAAGAGGGCCGAGATAAAAGCGAGGAGGATCGCGTAGGAGGACAAGAAAATATAGATTGGTAGGGACAGAGCGAGTGGCGGACGTGGAAAAGACAGAGACGACCGGATACGGATCGATCCGGAGGTCTATTCCGTGGGTGTGCAGCTTCGTCTCTCTTGCTCTCTCCCTTACCCTGACTCTGCCCGATAGGGTTCAATCCGGGGATGAAAAAGGAGAATCGGGTCTACGTAACTCGGTTTCGTTGGGAAATTGCGATCTATGCATGCATTAGAATCCCTCTACTCCGTGTAACTGCCGAGCCACACTGGTTCTACCAATAGATGATGGGGAGTCAGGGATTAGGGACGCCATTTGTTTCGTCATTTCCCCTGGAAGTGCCGTCAATTTCACGGACAATCACGTGCGATCGTGCCGCGACGGGATTGTCCGGTAAATATCAGAGTTCGCGAGATAAATTCATGTTCGAGAGTCGACGATGAAATGAGACGAAGAGCTATCTCGTGTTCGTTGCGAGAACTAGGATCTTTCGAACCCTAGGGAATGCGGTGGATAAAACGAATAAGACTTTAAAATGGTTGGAAAATAGTAAAAACGAAGAAACAAATCGGATAGCTACGCTTATAATACTCGACGAATATGATACACTTTGATATTCATATCTCTAATGATCCTTATTGCTTTGAGTAGCCTCTAGGCTATCTGAGTAATTTCTAGATTGTATGTAGGTATACAGTTTCAACGGCAAGCATTGAGCACTGTGTATGTGTACCAAGGGTGGCCCTAAGGGTAGGTGTCGATTGATGAACATGTGTAACACGTTAATATAGTACACAGAAATTGGAAAAACATTTAACGAAATACAAAATGTTGTATAGGGAAGGATATAGCAATTCTCTATATGGGAGCTCCTCAAATATAAATCGGAATTGTAATTACAAAATAGGACTGTGTACCATTTTGAATAATTTAAATATGATCTGAAAGTCGTTTAATCGAATGGATGTTCCAAATAAATAATATTGCGTACTATTTTTGTTAGTCATCTTCAATGTAAAACTTTTTCCATCTCTAGTGTTACCTATGTAACCTATTAACGAAACTCCTATACAGGAATTCAAATGATTTTGCCTCTAACAGACTGAACAGTGGGACCAACAATTCAGGATTTGTAAACGTTTATTGTATGATAGGATCTTATAACTTATCAGTATGATAAAGTAACGATCGTTATAAACGAGCTTAAAAGCTACATGTTACGTAGGAAATACAGTGACTTCGTAACCACACGATCAGTCCATAGAGAATAATCGTCGTGAAGTTCGCTATTTCAGCCCGCTTGGTCTAACAATGCTGATTACATGCGATAACAATGAATCGTAACAACGCGCGATCAATATTTTTCATCTAAACTCAACTCAATAGTGTTCTCGATTACGAAATAAACATCGGGACGAACAATATGATTGTTCAGACTTCTGCAGTACTTACTTACATTATGATGTAAGTAATTTCGCGCCAATATTCATTCTCTATTTTACAATACGATACAAATAAAATGTGCTTACCAACGATGAACTCAGCGCAGTCGTAAGTATGTCGTACCATGATCAGTTCCAATCGGTTAATTATTTCGTTGGAAATCCATTTCTGAATTCAGCAACTCGAAAGGGAAATTTCTTTAAAATTGAATCACTCACCGTAACTTATATGCATTCGAACTACTATCACGACACGATCATTTGGTTTGTTCTATAATAATTACCCTCACAATTTCAACTATTTAAGAAAAACGTTCGACGAAGACGGAAACACTGATCAGTTTAAACTTTTCAAAACTATTGTGACGATTCTATCCGCTTGGTGGCGTTTAGGTGTCCAAGCATAAATTTGATTGGTTTGAAACTGCGGTTGGTAACTGCTGAGCCAATCAGAGTGCGCGGTACGTCAGCCATGTTTCCTATCGTTGAAAGAGCTTCAGATTCAAGTTACTTCTTGAGTGCGTAAGGTGTAAATGTCCGTGCGCGCAAATTTCAAAAAATTGTGTAAATATATCACGTTCACCAGTGTTTATTCATAAAAATTATTGAAGGATTAATATCCGCGATAAAGAATACATCATTTTTAGCGTTTAAATGTTCGTATTGTTTGCAAAAACTGCATTTTTTCCGACTTCGTCGAACCGCGCGTACTTCTTGCTCGACCTTCAAAGTGAAAACTTTCGACGTTCGGTGTCGTAAGCATTGCTCGGTCGTTTTGTCAGGATTCAGGTATCTAGAAAAAGGAATATAAGCAGCTTGTAAACATTCAAGTGTGTAATAGATTTAATTGTTGAGCTCGCGTTCGTACAAAATTTGTCGTTCGTACCATTTGAAGAAGGTAATTCATTGAAAAAATTTGAAATAACTTTTTACTTGTAGACATTATAGAAAAACATATACAGTAATAATTCTGTACTTGAAAGTCTTCCATTTATGTATAACATATATCTGCTAATACAGATATTTTTCAACTAGTACAAGCATAGAGCTTTTCTACCTGTAGAAACCCTACAATAAATGAGTAGATACAACTTTTTTCTTAATACTTTTTTATGATTAATGAATAAAAAGTTGTTTCAATGAATTGCCTCATAACTTTCGGCAACAAGTAGTGTTAAATTCTGTGTCCGCGAACAATATTATCAGTGAATATTTTGTGACAATTGTTACTCGATGAAGAACGGAGGAAGAAACGTTTGAATTTCGCGCGCATGGAGGACTATGATTCAAGGTGGTGGAGGGAAGATGTGGGTGTGAAGAACAAGTGGCGGTACCTAAGGTACGTATCATTCGATTATTTCAATACGTTTTCCTCTACTTGACAGTTTCGATAGATTTTTTTCATCCGAAACGACAACGGACATCGAAGCTCACGAATAACGGCTTACATGCTAAGATCAATATCACCGGTGTAAAGAGACGCGACCACAGACGAGACATAGGATAGAGTTGACATCCAGTATATGTTTATGTCAAATAAACAAAATTTGATACACCTTTTTTATCAACAACATTAAAACCATATCACTTTATGTTTATACTACATTCTATATTTAATGGTTTTGTAGTGCCTTTAGTGATCACGCTGAATTTTTGTGTATAACATATATTTTTTTATATAATTTCTCAGCTTTACCGCAATTAATCATAGATCGTGCAGTCAAACAACACTTATTTTATAAACATATTTCTGGTACTTACATGTGACATAAAATCTTATAAAATATTGAAACCTGCCAATTAGGGTCTATCCTATGCCTCGTGTGTGGACATGACAATTCTCGTCGATAAACTCTTTTCTCTGTCATTCTTCTTTTTATTTCCCTTTTTACAAGCGATTCGTATACAACACGCTGTGGATCGTCAAGGAATCGTCGATTCTCGATTACGTCACTACTATTTACAAAAAGACCCGATCAAATGGGAGGAGAAATGTGTAAAAGAAGGAACGATGCGGTGAATATGCGATTAGAATACTCTTTGATGAACACAGGTGAGAGCCCTGCTCTGAACGATAAACTAACTGGCCCAGATGTGCAATTCTTTATTGCTAGACTGCGGATTTTATGCATTCAAGGAATATGCAAGTGTGCATGACACAATGAAAGAAGACAATTTAACCAAGATTAATAACATTTCTATATCTTACATTTAACTTACCGAATCTTTTAGTGGATCAAATGAATTTCACTTTGACTCTGTGTTTTGCAAAGTAGTATCAGGAGATGGGAATTTGCATAAACACCCGCAGTATAGTTATTGCTTTAACTTCTAATTCACGCTACACCTAAATGCTGTGCTTTGATAAAAACACTAGAGCTAAGGATAAATTTATGGTGTGAGATGCGAGATTCATGCCAATATTCTGTTTAAAAACTGCCTCGTTACTCCATGAAATGATTAAGTAATTAAAAGTAAATGGTATAGAAATTTTATATTTCTAGAATGATTTAGAAAATAAAACGAGATTATTATAATTTCTGGCAGTTGTTCGTACAAATATTTCAGAATATTTGAAGATCACATAAAAAAGTTATCCTGCTATGGTGTAATTACATCGTTTAGTATTTCATTCAGATTCGTTCCAACGACAACGTCAAACACCGTCGAAATTTGTCGCTTTTTAGTACATTTTAGAACAACGTAGTGGACTATCTTCTCGAACAGAGATGTTTGGAGATGGATCCTCTTTCTCGTCCATTTCTACTAAGGTTGTCGTTCCGCGATTCAAGTGTTGATTCAGTGCCTGACGTCAGCCTCGTCCGCCGCTTGGTTCTCTAGGGTACAGGGCCTCAGGAACTCTTGACCTCTTTCGTGCAACCATTTGTTTGCCACTGAAACCAAATATATATTTATAACTCAGACATCTATAAACATATTTCTACCGCCACTAGGAAGGCTTGTGTTTCTTAGTAATTAGTAAAGTTATTATCACATCCCCTAGCAGTCCCAAAATTGGAAGTTATGGTTGCCCGCGACACGACCATAATATCAATACAAATTAACTTGTACTTTTATCTATTGTAATGACATTCTAAGCTAGGTTAGCACCAACTGTAATGATATATACAACTCCTAATGCCACAGATACATCTGTATTACGGTTAACAAGTTCTTCCTGCTGGTAGTAGACGTATATTAAACTGCGTGAACAAAACATTAGGTACCACATTTACTAGGCTTAATAATGATTAAGAATGCTATTACGAAATGGTTTCATACCCCATTTCGATCCAGTTAGCACTGGGCAAGCCGCGTGTCTGGTCTTGAAATCTCCTTCTCCGTTTGGCTTCAAGTTATACCAAAACGCGGCGCTGCCCTTCCTCGGCCACAAAGAGATGTTGATAGCCGTGAAAACGGTACCGCCACCTTGTTCCACATCGCTCATCTAAAACAAATCAACAATATGTATATCTTATTTGCTCCCTCAGTCTTACAGGAACCGCCTTATACATCGAGATTCCGATGAAATATATACTTTTAACTTTTGTTTCTCTTACTAAGGGATATTAATAGCAAGGGTTAAAACTACCCTTCAAAATTAGAGTACTCGTTAGAATAGTTTAAGTCGAGTAATTTCAAGGAATTACCAACATATTCAATAGAAACAGAGCAATCCTATACAAGCTACGTGGGGAACAGTAGATAGATATGGTCGACATAAAAATGTCTGCCATCAGAAAAGACGGTATACTCACGTAATATAGAACTGTAGCAATGCGGTTGCCGGTGCCGAGACTCTTGAACGCGTTCGTTTCCTCTTTCTGCAGATAAAACAGAAATACCATTAGTCGTTTTCGATTGCCCTTGAGATTTATCACTGCTAAGAGATATCAAGCTTACCCTGGCAAAATCGAAGTGCGGCTCGTAGTGACCACCGATACCGTAATTGACAACTTGCAGTTCCTCCGCGGTGTCCACAGTCAAGCTCGTCATGTGCTCCACGCGTCTGCTAACCGCCTCCACGTGTTTGTGCTCGTGCTCCTGCAGCCACGCGCTCTTACTAATCCTATAATTGGCTATCTCTAAGGCACCAGTTTTGTAGTTCTGAACCGTGGCACGCTTAAACTGAAACGTATAAACGAAGAAACATATTACAAGACCAGTTTAGAACGAAAATTTCGATTGTTTAACCCTGGAACGCCACTCTGGGGTTACCGGCCGATCCCGCAAAATTTGAATCTTTTTTACTGACGTGAAAATAAACATTAAAACATTAAACTTTTTTTTTTCTTTCAACAGAAATCACACTGTGCAGTTATTCTTTTCCTAAGGTGTTTTGAGAAGAATTAAAGAAGAATAGTTCGAAAATATTAAATAGTGTTTTAAATATTAAGATTTTATTTCGGGTCGCTCGCAGTGACGGTAACTTCTGGTGACATCGGGATTTAACACAGTTCTCGAAGAAATACCCTGAACTGTTTGAATTTAGAAGGTTTTTAGGAATTTTAAGAGGAACAGTTATGAGCAACATTTCAGGTCTTTCTAAGGTCGTATTCGTAGTTTCTTCTTCTTTTCTGGAAATCATTTGGAAGTTAAGGAGCACGTTTGTTACCCTGGGTTGCGCCAGTCGTTTGATCGTCTCGATCTCCTCGTCGTATATCACGTTATGGTAAACGACGATTCTCGGGTCCAAGTACGCTTCCTCCTCCTTGAACGGCGCGATCTTCAGAAACGGAATTCCACGGTCCACGTAGCGGCACTTCAGATTCCTTTGAATTTTCGGCGGAATCGAGACTTCGCCGCGGCATAGCATCTCGTAACGTTCACGTTCTGTCATCTCGTCCCAGGTTTTCACCTTTTCCTCGGTGACGGTGAAGTGCTGGAAAATTCGCCGAAAGAGAGACTAAATTAATTGTGTTTCCCCTTCTTTCATTCTATTTTTGACACTTCTCAAATCTAATATTACGATGCCTTCGAAGAAGTCTATTCACTGATGCATTATTTGTGCTTCACACTTTTTTTGAAACAGAATCTTTCTTTGGATCGTGTGAGATTTAATCTAGAGAAGTTAGAAATTTTATTAGGTTCTAGAACCATAATTATAACCAATTTAAGTATTTCTAGTAACAAACGGGTTTTACGTTGAAATCAAGCAGAACTGAATAAAGAAAAGCGCGAAAGAAACGAAATGTTGGATCATAAATCTCACGAAATAAGAGAAAAGTGTTCAAAATTATTCGATCTAACCCCTATGCAGTAATTCTGATAAGAGAGCTTTGGTAACCCGAAAATTCCAATTTTCCTTGAAGTTTACAGATTTGTAGATCTCGATAGAAGTATCGGACCATTTTTCTCCCTACGTTTTGGCTCTTCGGGGTGAAAACAGCCCCTAAACGTTAAATTGTAGTTTCCTATTTTCCTGTGTATTTCGACAACCACAGTATGTACACAAAAAATTGTTAAAATGAAAATTCAATCGCTTTTTATGCTTTACAAAATTGTACAATGAAATTCATAAAAATCTGTTATTTAAATAACTAAATAAACAAATTTTTAAGCATGTCTATACACAGTTGTACAGAGCTTAAATGGCCGTTAAATTTCCAATCTAACAATTTCTTGTATATATACTGTAATTTTCAAAATATACAGAAAAATATGTAAACATACATTAACTTTAAGCGGTGTTTTCACTCTCAAGAACAAAGTAGCAAAAGAAAATAGTTCGATGCTTGTATTGTGGTCCTCTACAAACCTGTAAATTTTCAATAAAGAAATAATCGAAATTTTCAGGTTTACCCAAGTGTCTCCCTCGTTAGTCATTCAACCGTCACTATCTCACTTGTTCGGGGATCGCAGTGTCGTCTTGTCCGTCCTCGCCCCGTTTCTTCTTCGACTGGCTCGCCTTGCTCTGGATCTCCTTCTGGTAATAAGCACGGTTGCCCAAAGCCCGCTCGTGGGTCGGCACCAGCTCCAAAAGCTCGTTCGTCATGCTTAAAGCCCGGGCTACGTTTCCTGTAACAATAGAATAAATTACATTAGCAAATCGCGTTACACCCCCGGGATTCAAAGCGCCTCGGAAAACGTCGTCTATTTACAGAACTCGATATTAAATTTGCTCCAGCTGCCTGGCTTTGGTCTTACAAACGAACGACTACACTTTCAGGTGACAACGATGATTTAACCGTCCCGAGAGATTTGACCGTCATCGGTTTAAATTTTCGAAGAATTTCAGGGCCAATTGAACAGGCGGGATGCACATTCGTCGTGGAAAAGTTTTAATGGAGGTTTAAACAAACCGAACCACGGCCACGCAAACTTCACCTTCCACTGACGGAAATTTTCATGGCAATTAAATCTCTCGAAGAGAAATGTTTCCAACCACACGCGCACACTAATTATTTCGTATGGTTTCGTCGAAGTTTCGCGGTGTCGTTGAATGTCTCGTTGTTTAACAGAGATTACAGGGAGATTCTTGTGCCTTTCCGAGGATTCTGGCGCAGTGCGGTCTTCAAAGGCGTGGGCAACAAGAATAATGAAACGCCCGGGCACCCGCCAGCCGCCGAAACTTTCCAGCCGCAAAGTAACACCGCGGCGAGCAATTTAGTTTCTAATTTATAATGCGCGGACTTTTACGAGGTAGCGCGCGGAATTTTTTTCCCCCGACCGTATCCGGCTGGCAAATCCTCCGGCGGCCGTGACGAGCCGCGAAAGCCGCAAACAATTGTTATTTTAATTCACCGAATGAAATTCCCCGGAATTCGCTAACTTAAAATCAGCTGTGCGTGATTCGTTGGATACATTTACGCGTTTAGTTTGAAAATAAAAAAAAAAATTAAGGAAATCTTCTGTTACGTTTATAACGTGATTGATCGAGTTCGATTATAATGGTTACTTTGTAACCCTTTAACTTGAGTGTTGCACCGGTGCAATATTTATTTTAACAGTGCGTCAAACTCTGTCAATCGTTAATATTTAACTAGGTTGAGCAATGGAAGTATGTCTTACAGAAATTAATTAAAGAAATTTGAAAAAAGGGGTTGGTTTAATATCGATATTTTCAACTTTAAAATTACAAGATACAACATATATATCAGTGCCACAATTTTGAAGTAAGGATTTAAAGGTCTGGGCGTTAAAGGGTTAAATTTGAATTCAAGACTTGAAACTTATATAATTGGTCTTAAGACTGGATCGTAATATCATACAGTACCAATTAGGTTCGTTATTAAACCCTTTTCAACTGTAGGATTCCTTTTGGAATCATAAACTTAGCATTTGTAATTCATGTTACGAGCATGAAGTTATAGTATAGTTAGATGGATACATTCTCGAAAATAATATTTAGGAATTTACGGATATCATTAACATTTTAAAGATTATTCGTTGTTTTTTTTTAATTTTCCTGTTTTTCCGACTCCAAATATTTTTCTTTCTTTGAAAGAGACTATTAAAATTTCGATCCAATGATCATAATTTTAATGTCTGTTAAAAGACGACTACGATTCGTATTAAAAATTGCTAATAATAATTTCTGCGGTTAGATATCTTCTTTATTTAATTTCTTATGTGTATGCAACCTACAGACCACATCGAGTTTCGCCAGCTACCGTAGAAACATATCGTTCTGGGGCAGACCTATCTTGATTTTACAGGAGCATTCCAAACCTAGATAGCGTGCGGAAAGTTTCATCCATGAATGAAGTGACTCCATTTTTAGTCCACTAACTAGATGAAATCACCATAAAAAATGGACTTAAAGTTCACAAACTTTAGAGACACCGACAGAATAATCACTATGAACTTTAAGTCGACTTTTAAAGATGATGTTTCATCCGGTTAGAGGGTTAAAACTGGTACTTCGTGATTTACCATGACAAGAATTCTGCAGATAGGAATGACTTAGTAACAAGTCAGTTACATAACATATAACAATACAAATTTTCACAACAAAGTAAATAACAAAAAAAAAAATTAAGTAAATAAGAACCTTGCATGTACGTCGAAAAAGCCAGATACTCCAATATGTCCGGTTTCGATGTGGTTGTGGCGTTCTGTTCTTCCTGAAGTCGATCCATAGCCTCCTGCATCCACAGCACCGTGTGATAGTAATCACGATTGTGGTAAGACTGCCGTCCAAGCTCGAAGCAGTCGCTGGCTGTAAAACAAACCCAGAACAATCCGTAATCAACACTCGAGACCATTAACAAGATTCATTAAACTGCATCTCAGCACTCGAAAGTGTTCCCCCCAGAATCGAAATCTCAAGTTCGTCCATCTCGAAAGCAAAACTTCGCGACGATGATAAACTTATTCCGCGATTTTCGACTTTATTTCTTCCCTCTGAACGGTCGCCCAGTTTCTGATTGTTCCGTAACTTCGAGCCCACCCTGTATAATTCATGACTCCCCCATTATCATAATTACATTCGTAATAACTGTCAGAGCGGGTGGGGGAAGGCGTCGAAAAATTTGAAAGTTAAAATTGAAAAATGGGAACGCTTTTCTTGGATTTTTCGAACCCTATATATTGGGGGACTAGGAATCGACCGATCTAACCGGGGATGCGAAGTTTCACCGAAAGTTTAAAGGTTTTCCACCCCCTTATTATCTATTCTGACTGGCTTCGAACTACGGAAGTTCCGCCACTTTCTTTTGTATTCGTTTCTTTTCACCGTCCAGCGGACTCCTCGCAGAAAACTTAGCTCGTGTCAATTAATTTCTTTACGTTTCTTTTTCGCGAACCACGAAAATACCGCACACCCCACGCACACATACACCGCAATTATCTAATAAAAACTATTTTTTGAAACGAATACCTATTTTCTTCTCGGAATCTGAGAAAGAATTTGTCCTTTATTTGGTCGAAGAAAACACTGCGAAGAGAGTTTCTTTTCTTTCAAACGAGCGTTTCAGGCAAGATTCTTTTTCAGAACTGAAGATTCAGGCGTAATTTCAAATTTGCCCGCAGGCATTTAAACTTAATAGTTAGAATTTAAAATTGAATTAGGTCGATTATATTCTGTATTTAACTTTGATCGTTAAAACTCAAATTTGGCGGTTAGAATTTAAATTTGATACGTATGCCATTAGGAGTTTCATTTGAATTTTATGGTTAGATCTTGAATTTGAATTTGCTGGTTAAAACTTAAACTTGGCGGTTAGAATTTAAATTTGATACGGACCGTTAGGATTTCCATTTGAATTTTACGGTTAAATTTTGAATTTGAATTCGACCTTTACTCGAACTTAGCGGTTAGAATTTACATTCGAACCTTAAAATCTTTTTATTTGAATTTGATGGTTAGATTTCAATTTGAATTCGATCCTCAAAAGCTTGAACTCGACGGTTAAGACATTACGTTAAGATTCTTCAATGGATTCCTCGGTTCGAAATCCAATTTAGAATTGGATTATTAAAATTTCATTTCACAGAATTTAAACTCAAAATTGAAGTGAAATCTTATTTCTGAACTCAACCGTTAAAACACATCGTATCCCTCCACTGCACTCCTTAAACTATACATTCCAGAAATTATTTAAATCTTTTCTATTCCTTTATCTTCCCCGAGTAAAGAAAAAAGTATTCATCGAAGTGTACAGTAATTACGTCTTCGTAGGGCAGATAATCCCGAAGATCATTCAATATTCATCGAATTCCCTTCTGTCGTCCATAAATAATGCACACAAATGGCCGGATGATGATGTCGGCAAAAATCACTTTCTTGCTTCGGTAAAAAGGGAAAGCTCCGGAGCTAGTAAGAAGCGAATGGAACAGAGGAAGGGGAGTGGAAGAGAGAGAGAGAGGGGGAAAATGGTTGCGACATCAGAAGTTGCGAATTGCTGCGGCAGCGTCAACCGTGCAAAATCAGGGGAACGAGTCGCCCGGAAACGAGGACAGGATGCTGATAAAGGAAATCGCGTAAATTATTCATACCAGGGATCTTTAAGCGCAGGTAACATCGGGACGTGGGGAGGGGGTGGTTAGGGGCCAATATTCCTGTCGATTCGCAACGTTTTGCTCCCCTGCCCCCACCCGTTAATCCCGCATAAATAATTCACGACGAAAAAGCAATGCTGCAAAGCTTTTCACCCATCCTTCCCCTCTTTGCGTTTTCTCTCGCCCCCTTAGTTTTTTTTTTTCGTTCTTGTTTCGCAGTCTAAACCAACGCGGTACCAGGATGCGAAAGCGCTGTAACGAAGCGTTTCTCTTCCGACGCTCTACATGATGCCCGCTGTGTTTCTCTTGTAAATCTAATGTAAAGTTCTGAACAGGAAAGTATTGTTGCCAGGTCCGAGATGCAAGCTCTTCCCTCGTTATTCGAGCCAACCCCCGAGTTTCGCACAAAATATACTTATGTAGACATTAAATTTGAATGTAACCACGGACCTGTAACCGAAATGTTTCAATGTGACCGTTTGTAGTTTAACGGTGAAAATTTGAAATTCAATTCGATGATTACAAGCAGATGAAATATCAGGTTTATTTTCATTGTTACAGTTTGAATATATGTCGGTGGCTTGTATTTGAAAGTGACAATGAAGATCCGTGTTGCGGATTCAGCGGATTAGAATTTGAATTTGTGTTCAACGGAGGCAATCTGAATTTGAATTTCAAAATTGCAGGAATTTCTACAAACTAAAATCAAATAGAAATTTGTCCGTTTCAATGATAGTTCTATTAACTTCTCCACTCTCACGTTTAATCGATTACAAATGGCGAAGTACTTTTTTAAAATCCTTTATACGTTATTCGAAATTCTTTATCTAAATAAAAATTTATTTATATAAAAAGTATACAGGGTGTTCCGCTTAAAACAGGCCACCTAAATATCTTCTCTATCTGTGATCATACTGGATGTATTTTTTACGTAATTTAAATGGTTTCAAGGCACAAATCAGCTGATGGAAAAAATTATATAAGTGAATTTAAAATTTTTAGAGTTCAAGGTCATTTCAAGGTCATACTATTATACATGAAAAATGATGTACATATACGTTAAAAAACGTGGCTGACCAAACCATTAAAAAAGAACACATACATTTTGCTGCCATTCGATTTGCCTCTTAGAACCATTTAAATTACTTAAAAAATATTTGTCGTACGAACACAGGTAGAGAAGATATTTACGTGGCCAGTTTCAAGCGGAATACCCTGTGTATCAGTAAAATCTGAAATTTAATCGTAAAATATATTTACGAACCGCTTAATCCGGTGCTGTACTGGACCCCATTAAGCACGCCCCTTGCGACCTGTGCGGTCTCGAGTTTGTAAGTGTCCTGCAGCCTCATCAGAGCGACTGCCGCGCCGTTTAGGTCCTCGTCAGTTGGGAATTTAAGGTCGCTCCGTGAGCTGGTGATGTTCGCGACGAAAGACTTGCCCACGTCCTGGGTTATCAGCTCCTCGACCCGCTTCCAGTCGGTGGTCAGCCTTTTCACCAGCAGATAAGCGTTGATTGGATTCGACAGGTACTGCTGAATGTTTCTCGACGCTTCCTCGTGCTCCCTCGCGTAATCCTCCACGTTTCTGAAACAACGGAACGGAAACACTTTCAGTCTGGGCACTTCTTTTTATGCCGAGGCTGAAATTTCAGTCTCCAAATTCAAAAATTCTCTCAAAAAATTCTCTTCAAAATTCCTCTAAAAATTCAATTAAAAAAAGAGTAACGCAAGATATTTAACTTATTTCTCTATGGTGTTGTGTCACATAAATTGACAAATTCAAAAGATTTCATTACATTTGGTAAAAATATGCAATTAAAGCGTTAAGGAATCCTGATATCTCGACTTACATCCAATTAGTGGTAAGTATTATTTCCGACATTCAGCGAGAGAAATTAGAGAAATTAATCTTCCAAATAATAGCAGAGTGGTATGCGGGATCTGCTTACAAAGAAACGCGAACTTTCCACGTTGAGCCGGCATTTCAAGAGAAGGACAGCCGCAATATAAATTACCATTGTTGGTTGTATCTGATTGCACGTTACAAAGTTATTCCAGAGATAGATCGTAAATTACGGTTCTAACAACAAAACCGTGAATAATTTATCTAATATGTACTGTACGTATATTATTCTAGAAAGGATGATCGCAGAACAAGGAAATTATTCCTAGACCTTCGTTAATAATTCACTGTAATTATGTCGACGACTCAACACGATACTTAATTAACGCGACAGTTGCAGGAACGTGGAAACGCTGATTCATATTCCGTTCCTCTGATTACCCTGTAATAAATTTTAGAAATTCATTCCGTCCGTGAATCTACCGAAACAACGAAGGCCGGCGTGGATGCTTTTTAATTTAATCTTCTACTCGGTGCAGAAACGGAGTTGCACCACGCCACTCCCAGCACCCTCCTTTTATTGCAATTCCGCAGGTGTTCCACGCTCAAGAAACATTCGCCCGTTGTCATTTTTCAGGGGCGTTTAAAACAACGATCGTTTCATTTCGTGCCATTTCCTACAACATTCGCGTATTTACGTTCGTCTAAAGGAATGGAGTGGAGAGGGTTGAAGACGACGCAGTTAAGGGTGAATTTCACGCGGTTTAATCGACTCTGCAATTTGGAATAGTGAAAGATGCTCTCTCTTTAAATACCCATCAAACGTTCGTGTATCGAGATTTATTCTATCGATTTAATTTAACCTGGTATTCCCACCGATATAAGAATCCACTTTTCTCCAGCATGGTTGAACAACGACTGATATTACGCCGGAGAATGTTCTACCCCGCGCTGAGATTTCAGGAATTCCTGGAACTTTTCATTCGGACGCCAGGATCCTGTAGTTAGCTCGGAACTATATAATAGAATCCAATTCCTGTGCTTTTGTGAATATAACGGCTAGAATTCGAATTTAGATTCTACGGGTAGAAATACCGAATAAATTCCGAGCTTAATCGTTAAATTATATATTTTCAAACCAAATTAATCGTTTAGAATTTAGATTTCAGTTGGATCGTATTAAAACCGGATGATTACAAACCGACAGGTTAGAATATTAATTCGAATTCGACGGTTGATACTGAAACATAAAAATTTCTTGATAAAACAATTTTGAAATCGAATTCCGACCGTTACAATTCGAACTTGGCAATTGCATAACTTATCAAATTTGAATCTCATGCTACGAATTACCAGAATTCTTTTTTCCAGAACAACTTCCAGAATATTTCGTTCTACAATTTTCAGAACTACCCTTTCGTATAACAAGTCGGCGAAAACAGAATACACTCGAGAACGTTTCGGCCGGAGGTACATCGAAAGTTTGATTGCTGGGAACGCGGGTCCGAGAGATCCGATTTGTGGGAGAAAGAAACCAGGAAAGTTGTTGCTCCCGCGAATTATACAAGACCGGGAGAACTTTCCGGGCGGTCAGGGGTCGAAAGTTGCTGTATATATACCCGCTCGAACAGCAGTATTCAACGTCTTTCCTGGCGCTACGCGGAGGCATTGTTAAGAAGATAGACCTCCCCGCGATTCCAGTAATTTAACTTCCAAAACTTCAGCCGGGAAAGTTCCCGGCGTTGCTGCGAGTCCCTCGAAAGTGATAGCTTCCCCTTTTCAATCGTGGACCATGGAAAGTTGCACCGTTTAAAAGAATTTTCTTTTCGTACGACTGCATTGACCGGCGAACATAAATACACTCGCGGTAGAATATCAAACGGAAATCTTTTCACGGTTATACTCGAAACACGAAATTCTCATAGATCCGTCAGAAGTGGGTTCCTCCTTAAACTTACCGGGAAATGCAGAATTTTCCAACAAAGAACTGAATTTCCTCGAAATTTTCGTTCAAACTTTTATACTTTACTTTGCAAGACGAAGGAGAGTATGAATTAGATACGAATGTCTGCTCGTTATTTAACCCTTTCAAGGTAACGATTAGAGATGGCGTGCAAAATCACTAACGGTGATTTATCACAGTGATCGCCAAATCACGATCACGGTCGCGATTTAACTTCATTCGCGATTGCGATTTTTTTATCCTGAGTGAATTTGCTCACTGTGATCGTAAGTTCTTGATCGTTAAACGGAAAAATGAATTACATATTTGTGTTTTTAAAAACCAGTAGAAAAAACAAGAATTAATTTATTCATTATTCTTTCTCTGACTTCGAGAATCGATTTGGGATCGGTTAGTCGTTTCGCTGACAACCGCCAGTATTTAAAAAAAGAGTCTCTGATATGACATGAAAGAGAACGGATGTATTACATTTGACTTGTACATAATTGTATATAATTAACGTTGAACAGTTTTACAGTATTAAATAAACGTTGTGTTGTGGTATATTTAATAATAAAATGCTGTTATGTCATGTGGCGAAATGCGACGGCGTAACAATATTAAACTCCGTTTTCTCAGTTAGAAACTATTGGAAATAGAACAATTCAGACCCAAAGCGACGATATCACTTTTATCGATCTTTCCACGCCTGGTGATCGGCAACAAGAGTGCACCCCTGTTTCACTATCGTTAATCGTTCAAGGTGACTCAAAGATTCAACTCTCCGTATCGAGTGGTTCGCTTTGATTAAAAATTTACTCTCTGGGGGGAACAAGTCTTCCGCACAGGTGGCAAAAGGTCGCCACCCGAATCTCCTCGAGTGTCATCAGAACGACCGATTCAGCAATTCCCATCGTTTCCTGGCGTTTCATTTTCCCCCCTCCCGCCCACCCCTCCCACAGAATTGCGATCGCGTTTCCCAACAAAGACCGATGATCCTCCCGTATCCCACCGTACCGGGGTTTCCGGGGTTTAAAGAGAAATACAAAGGACTTGGCAAGATGACGAGGGAATTATTCAGTCCTGTTCTCTATTTTGCCGGGCAGTGGTGCAATAGGCAATAACTGCCTGCCGTAGATAACGACCGACGGTGCCCAGCCAGGCTGTACCACCACCCCTTTTCCAACCCCCAACCCCCTGAACAGGGACAGAGATAATTCGTGAAGATCGTTCTAACGCGCGTGGAAAAGCCAGCAGGGGACAGACCCGGCCGGTCCTCCCCTTCTCGACGTAATAATACGTCGTCCGATGGGAGAGGCGCGTGGCTCGCATGCAGATTCAACGGGACTCGATTAATTCCCGTACGATTCCTTTACCGACCCTCTTTTTGCGCCCCAGCCATTCACAGAGGTGGCTGTGTGCAGGTACCACGAATTCTTGCGCTTCCGACAGTTTTTGCTCCGACCGCCCCCTCTGGACGTCTGGAAAATTCATTTCCGATGGTAATTTCCTGGTTTTTGTTTTTCTTTCGGACGTTTCGCCCGTCGGGTCTGGATGTTTTTCTTTTGTATAGCTCGTTTGGATTCGTTTGGACGATCCACATATGGTATTTTACCCGTCAACAATTCAGTTTGTAATTTTTGGTCGTTTTTTAGGGCGGTTTCTTCGACTGGAACCGTTGAGTTCTGGTGGATATTCGAACTTGAATTTTAAGACGGTTGTATTTATATTTGCGACAGGTACGTTGAATTTGAATCTTGAATTTGAACAGTCATGTTGAATCATTGATACTAAATCTATCGAAACTTTCAAAAAGGTAGGAATTAGAAGAGAAAAACCAGTTATTTAGCCGGTTGTAGGGGATTTAGTGTTAAAGGGTTAGCCCACGTTGGAGCCCAAAAGTGATAGCTAGTCTTTGGTAATTTCTTTTTCGAAAATGATGAATTAAATGGGAAATCTATTAAAAGACACTTATTGTGCATATTGCGATGATCATACTTCAGTTTGAATTCCAATCGTTAAAGTCAAAGGTTAAGGTCAAATTCAAATTCAACCCCAAACCGTTTTATCCTCTAAACAATCTTACATCATATGTCAAAAAACACACATCTTCATGGAAGTGCTCCTTCCACCCTCAATCTCAATAACAGTACACTTCGCCACTTTGGAAAAAGATCGACACAAAATTTGAAATTCTTGCTATGTATTTTCAAAACCATAATGTAAATTCTGGTATATTTTCATATGGAATTGTGTCATAAAGGTAAAAAAGATTAAACAGGATAAAACAGATAATTGATCTTAGAATTCTTGAAAATCAGTAATACTTAGAATCCGATTAAATTTCAAAATTAAGTTTTCTTTAAACTGATACCTTTTGAGTTCCACCGTTTCTCTTGCAAAGTAGCGAAATCTATCTCCGCAACCAGATTCCCAATAAAACTTCGAGTACATAATACTGTCTATCGACAACAGAGACACAAAAAGCCAAGATCGCCAGGCGTATCAGCTTCCCCGGATCTGTTCGCCTCCCTCGAACCATCCCCTCTGACACAAGTCTGATCGCCCCCAAGAATCATTCCTCTTCGTGCTCGCGCGTTCCGTACAGACCACAAGGAATCCATAAATCATTCCGCCCGTACCCAACGTCGGTTTCTTAAATTCCGATAATCCTAATCTCGCGGAAAAAGGGCAAGATCAGAAGGAGAGACACGGTAGGGGAAAGTCTGCCAATGAGTGGAAAAGGGAGGGCTTGAAGGGAGGCCAGAAGAAAGCGAAAGGATCGTGAACGGTGAGGAAA